TGACAGAAACAGACCAGCGGGGTACTGAAGAGCACATTGCAAAGGAAATAACCATTAACTACCACCCACCCCAGGGAGCGATAAAGGAAAAATATAGATGTGTGCCTACTAACAGCTAACAATTCTTCTCTAGCTCAGGGAGATAAAGAAGGGTTTGGACGACTGGCCAAATCCCTTTCTCAACCCTTTCAGATCATCTGAAACCAAAGGGTTTTCAGATTTTTCTCAGAAACTAAGAAAGTCCTTCACTTAGAGAATGCACACATAAGAAAGTCTCTAACTCTTTCAATCAAATCAAGTTCCCAGTTGGAATAAAACTCCCTCATTATGTCTCAGGCTATGGTATAGGGCAGTCATTTTCAACCAGTGTGCCATAAGAATGTTTAAAACATGCAATACCTGACTATTTAGTCAGGGTAGGCTGTTAAGTAAAAAAAAAAATGTCAACAGCCAACACAACAATAGCTGTCCAGTGTGAATCAATCAAAATTATGCCCTTTTTTTATCAGATCAACAAAAAATATATTTTGTGTGCCACAGAATTTTATAAGGGTTGAAAACTGCTAGTATAAGACACTGCAGTCCATTTACTAATAAGGCATAAGTGAAAGCTACAAAATTCCAACAGAAAGTTCATTTTTATTAGTGTACAAAATAGGGTTGTTATATTTAGCAACAAATACAGGAGCCCTGTTAAATCTGGATTTCAGATAAACAACAAATTATCCTTTAGTATCAGCATGACCCATGCAATATTTGTGGCAGATGCTAAAAAAAATGATCTATTGTTTATCTGAAATTTAAATTTAACTGGATTTCTGTATTTTTCTTGTTACTCAGGTCAAAAGCCTTGGCCAGCAGTCTAAGGCCTATCTGGAAACAGTCACCACGTCTAGCCGAAGGAGCTTCAAGCAGCTAAGAAATAACCAGTAAGGAATTTGGATTGACGTGTGATAAATAACGTTTATTTAATAGTGAACTAAAATAGCTCATTTTAAGGATCCTCTCTGAGAATGCTTACATGTCATTAAAAAAATAAAGTCTTCCTTTAGTAACAAGTGAATCACTTCAAATATGTGTCTCTTTTTGGCACTCGGGGGTATCACAGAGCCTCCTGTCCCTGTTTCCTAAATCTAGACTTAAGAACTTGCCTCATGTGAAAGGAAAGCCACAGGCTGGTCAGGTATAAAGGAAGGCTTTACCTCCCCTTATAGTGCTTCTGGGGAGGACAGGCCTATTGATGCTTCTGGGTGTTCAGAAGGTCAGAGGACAACAGTCAACCCTTTCCCAAGTCTGTCTTCCTAGGGCCAGGTCACTCCCAGATACCTCCTGAGGGGCTTCCTCCCACTGCTGTTACAGAGGGGTGAGCAGCAGGCCAACAGAGGCCCATCCTCACAAAACAACCAACCATTTGCAACAATATTATTTTGCAAAGATTTCCTGCTGTGCCTAAATGGTGTGGCTGCTTGGTTTGTTATTTAAAAGAGTAACCCTAGTGAGACCAGAACTCTGAAGGGAGGAAAAGTCTGATTTCAGACCAGGATAAGTAGAAGGAATAAGTAGATGATTTTTGAGTGCTGTGCATGGTGATAACAGCTCAGACTTTAAGAATAGCACCTTCTTGTCCCTGTTAGTCAGCATCAATCCTTTCTGGATCCTGATAGAAAAACAGATTAATATATTTCCAAGAGAGGCTAGGGATTGGATTCAAGAACCATGAGAAGCTGCATTTGGGAGGAAGGGAAGGAAAAGACAGTGGAAATGAGTGAGGGATGCAGGGATAAGGACAGGGAGAGAGCACAGAGGAAATGTCTCAGTGGAGAAGGATGTTGAAAAGTCGGAAGACACGTTTTACACAGTATACTTGGGAAATTAAGTGAAGGTGGACCTTTTCTCTCTCTTCCACACTGGGACTCAAGGAATTTATGAATAACCTGCACAGTGTAGACTGCTGTACTTGAGAAGATGGAGGTGGGCATGTGTGGCTATCTTGACAACAACCTCTAAGGAAGAAGCATAGAGAACCCAGGAGAGCTACCTTCCCAGTGGCCAGAAGAGATGGTAACAAAGGTTCAAACCAACTATGGTTTTAGTATAGTGGTTAGAGGCCAGGCTTGAGAAATCACATTTACATTCTAATGTAAAGAAGCCAAATGGGAAATAATAATATGTACAGATCCCTGTTTATACAGAGGAGCTTTTAAGATAAAAGCAGACATTCCTGGACCATATTTATGGACTTTAAGGTAACGCCCACTTGATTGCTTTGTGTTGTTTAGCAAATGTTTTATTCCTTCATTGTTAGCATTTTTTTAAAGAACAAACATTTGGTAAAATAATCTAAATCAGATTTAAATTTAACACTAAAAACAATGGGACAAAACATGAATGTACAGAAAAGAATACACAGGGAGTTTTTAAAGGAAATCTCTATTATCTTGCAGAAAGGAGCAGAATGAGAAAGCTCCTGTAGGGTGGGTATGCACTGGACAGCTCAGCATCTTGGAGGATGTCACTCATTCACTCCAAGTGTCTTCCTTGGGATTCACACTATGCTAGGAGTGGGTGACATAGACATGAGTAAGACAGAAAGGTCACCGCTTTCCCAGAATTACGGGGAGGAGAGATAATAAAGCATGTAATTATAACATTCTGAAGAGTGGCTTTATTGGAAAAGCACAAGATGCAGTGAAGGCATGTTACAGACTGATGTTAGTCCAGGGCTCAGGAAAGCCTTCCCAGTGGAAGCGATGCCAAAACTAAAACCTGAAGCATGGAGAATCTGAGACAGGTAAAGGAGCATCTGCATTTGTGTATTGGTGGGAAGGGATTACACAGAGCACACTGATTGGAAGTGAGGAAGAAGAGGGTATTCTCAAAGAACTAAAGTAAGGCCAGTATTGTGGGAATGCAGTGCTTAAGGCACAGAGTAGCATGGGACCATTTTGGAAAGACAGGAGGGACCATGCTGTGGATGACTCTGTAAACCATATTACGGAGGTGGGACTTTATCGCAGGGGCAATAAAGACCTACTGAAAGGTAGTGAGCAGGAGAGGGATGACATCACATATTCATTTCAGACCACTCCGGCTGCAATGCAGATTGAAAAGAGGCAGAATGAGGAGCCAGAAGATATTTAAGAGGCCCTGCAGCAATGCAGGTAAGAAGAGAGGGGCTGGGGCATGGTATGAATATGAAAATAAGGGAAAGCACTCCAGAGGAAATCCACAGAAAATGGCATGATTGGCTATTAGGTGTCAGGGATATAGAATCAAGGACACTGAAAATATTGATTTTAGGCAACTGGGCAATAGGATGCCCCCTTTATAGGTGGTGCAGATTTGGCTCTAAGAAGTAGGAGGAGAAAGCAGGACAGCTTCGGCTATGGCATGTTCTCAAGAAACATATCTAGTCACAGTTAGAGATACAGACTTGGGGCTCAAGTGAAAGATTGCAGCCAGAGATTTGGGGGAACTTATAGACATTAAGTGTATCTTTGGCAATGGATAAGAAAAGAAAGGGTTTAGGACAGAGTCCTGAGAAGCACTAGTATTTAAGAGATGTGTAAAGGAAGAAGAGCATGCCAATGAGCCTGAGACAGAATTACCAGAGGTAGGAAGAAAACTAAGACAGTCACTACCGAACAAGCAGTGATAACTAGGGAGGCAGGAAGAGCAAAGTTCAAGGTGAGAGAATATTAGGACTGGATCACAGATGCAGCTACATTAATACCAGTTTTAGTTTCAACTCTAAATTTAGGAGTTTAGCTGAAAGGCAACAGTCCAACTCCCTTCCAAGGATAAGCAGGTACACATTCAACCACCACTAAATGTATGTCAACCTCCCCAGATACACTTTCTAATATTTTATTTCTTAAGCTGAATGGTGGGTACCTGAGCATGTATTAAGCTTTTCTGAATACCTTGCTATGTGTCTGATATAGTTGATAAATTTACAATGGATGCCCAAAACATATTGTTGAGTAAAAGAAAGTTGGGTTATTGAAGAGCATGTATACATTTCCATTTATATAAAATTATAGATTTATATCCATATAGGTATCCATGCACAGGAAGATGTCTAGAATGATGGTCACTAATTCTTTCAACCATGCTTATCTCTCATTAGTTGGATTTAAGGTAATTTTTACTTTCTTCTTTGTGCTCTTCTATGTTGCTTGATTTTTTTTATAATTGCACATGTAACAGTTTTATACAAATAACTAAACCATAAAAGCATCCTATAGAGTTTTCTGTCCTACATCGTTACATAATTACCCTTTGAGAATAGGCTGCAGTTATGCCTGTGTTATGAGGTGAGGTCAAGGGAACAGAACTCCATCACCCTTATGTTCTTACTGAATAAATCAGACTAAGAGCCACCATAAAAGACACCTCTATCGCAGCATCCTCACTCTTAAAGGTAGAGAGAGAAGCAAAGGAGAGAAAAACCAAGGAAAGCATCCTCTTCATGGCCTATATACCCATTAACCCATTCTCCATTTCCTCCCAGTACAGCAGCACTCCAGGGGTAAGTGGGCTGGTCCTCCCTTGTCTCGGTGCCTATGGTGTCTTTCAGAGCGATCAAGTATGTGGTGACCAGAGAGGGTTCAACTCCAAACAAATCTCTCGCTTGGATAATTTACACCTACAGGCCTTATTTTCTTATATTGTAAAATAAAAACAATTTTTAAAACCTGCTTCCTAAAGTTGTTGCTTTGAGTATTAAATGAGGTAAAAAATGCAATACACGTAAAGTAATACCTATCACATAGCAAATGCTCAATAAGTGGGAGCAGTTTTATATTTCTCAGAACAAGAACACAGCCACAGCCAGCTTTGGATCGGAAACACACCGTCATGAATAACTGCCATCCAGTGGCTAGCCTTCAACACTGATAGCTTGAACTGTTTTTCCTACTGTTTCTGAATGTCCAGCCCCAGCTTTGGAAGCTAAACTCTGACCTCCACCGAAGGTGTGCGCTCTGTGCCATACTCACCTATTCAGCATATTGGACTGGTAGATCCTCTTCTCATGGGTGTTGTAACAACTGCTCTTGGGCTCCGGGATGAAGCTGTGCTCAGACAGCATGTCAGAAGCAGCGGTGGTGATTATGGCAATTCCATCCCTCACTCTGGCAGGGAGGCCATAGTCCCATTCATCATAGGACACAGAGATGAGCCCGGTGGGGAACTCCAAGGGCACTGTGTCTGTATCCCCTGCCACCAGACTAGGCACAATCCACGTGTAGCCACAGCCAGTCAGCCCTACTGAGTTAGCCACTGCAAAGATGTAGGTGGCCTCTTCCTTAGTACAATAAAGAAGAATGATGGGACTTTGAAGTTTCTTGAGCTGGTTCTGAATTTTCGAATCTCCATCATCCAGGGACATGTCCAGCAAGAGGACTTCCTCTAGCTCCCAGCCCACGAAGCTGTTCTCAATGGTGCTGCGAATCTTGTTCACAAAGTCCTGGTAGCCAGGGAAGTAGGTGGTGACGATAGAAAAGATGTACCAGTCATACTCCTCCATGATGTTGAGCATCACGGAAGCTTGCTGTTCAATAGATGGACCAAACTGGAAGAACATGGAGGATTCATCCTAGAATAGTAAAAATGTAAAAAAAAGAGAGAGAGAGAAATCAAACCAAAGATGGTAAGGGAAAATTTGAATCAACTGGACAGAAATGTTTGTGTCCATTGTTTTACTTTTTAAAATTAAATATGTTTAAATTGTAAACATTTTTAATACCTTTCTTCCTAAAACTATGTCCTAAACTCCAGAGAAATTCAACATTGGTCTATACTCTCCTTGTCTGAAATATTTTAGGGCCACTGCCAGAGCCCAAGGCAGCTTCCTAAAATCAAATATGAAGTGGGGTAAAGACTATAAATGGGGGGCAGGGGTGGGCTATAAGGGGTCAATTGGAGAAAAAGGGGGACATATGTAATACTTTCAATAATAAAGATATTTTTACGTCTATAAATGGCCTCATTTCAGCTCAGGTCAGGTTTATGTTCATGCACACACACTTCCCACTTTTCAAGCCTCTTGGGTTCTCAGTTGTGGATGTGTATCACTCAGTCAGAGTGAATGATCCAAAAGACCATCTATCTACACATAAGCCTGCCTATGAAGGTGGGATAGGCACCCTCAGTGTGGGTATTAGGGAGAAGCATGTAT